TATTACCATTATATAAATAAATATTGAACAAGCATTTTGTAAGTTTAGAAATGAAATTCTTGGTAAATACAAATAAAAAAGAATACCTAAACATGAAAGACACAATATGCAAAGATCAACAGCAAACATACTGAATATTGAATAGTGAAATAGTAGTCACTCCTATAAAAACCAAGAACTAAAAGGGATGATGACTAATAATATTATTGTAATGCACCTCACTACTGAGGTTCTAATACAATTAAACTAAATATCAGATATAGCTTAAATATTAGAAATGAAGATATTAAAAATATTTATTTGAAGATTACATGATATGACTGCATACCTAAGAAAGTTGACATTGTGCTAACATTGTTTCAGTTAATAAGAAATTTGGTAAAATGGTTGTATATAACATATATAACAGTTACGGACAACAAATATACAAAAGCCATTTGTTTTTCTCTATATGAGCAACTACTCAGAAATGGCAATGGCAAAAGCTTGAATAAATTATGCTTGATTAAGCAGTTAAATTTTATAAATATATGATACAACCAATTATATTTGGTCATAAGTATAATAAAGATGTATAAGACCACATAAAGAAATTCTGAAACTTTACCAAAAGCTTAAAAGTCAGAATTGATAAAAGAAGTTTATTAGAAATCTTCAAAGAATTGGATCCCTCTGATATTATACATGTAACATGATGACAATCTCAAATCCCAATGGGGCTATTCTGGAGCTTTGCAAGATAACTTTTAAACTCTTATGGGAGGATACATACATTTGGACAAAGAATAGTGAGGGGAACCTTTCCAAATCAGATATTAAAGGTTAATATAAAAATGGTAAAATATTGACACAATAATGGACTATATATTTATATATATAAATTTAAAATTCTTTATTCTCCCTCACTATTCTATTCATTCTTATGTCCATTCATATATCCATCTTAGCAACAGTTAGTCTATTCTCCAACAAGAAGAGACATAACGGTTTACTCAATAAATGAAGATAACTGGTGATTCACCTCTAGAAGAAAATAAAATTGGATCCTCCTTTCAAATATACAAAATACATCTAAAAGTAAATTCTAGACTTTTAATACTTGACTTTAGTAAAATAAAACTTAGGAAATCTTCCAAAAGATATTGCAGATTATGTGGAGCCACCCAAGGGGGAGGACAGAGGCAGAGGAAGGGCATGGCTTTTTAAACAAAACAGTAAACCCAAAGAAAAATAGTAAGAAAGACAACCCTAAGTATTCTTCCATCCCTTCATACCTACCGCAGAGCTTTTCTAGGGACCCTAAGTGTCTCATAAATACTATTACTGCATACAGAATATTTTGTGGCACATTAATACTTTTTTATTTTGCATCATCCCATAGCCTGCATGGCTTGATCTACATTATCGACCACATTGTTTGCATTCACATTGAATTATTCATACTTCGAAGAAATGCTTCTAGAATGATATTGAAATTGCAGCAACCTGACCATCATGCTGCTTATATTGGAGCCTGACTTTATTACCTACCAATGGTGGGATGCAGTCTGCTTGCTAACATTATAGGGACTGCCTAAGGTACAGAAAATTGCCTGCAGACTCCTCCCAGACATGAACAATCTTGAAAGCGAGCAACACCATCTTTCCACTCAGGATTATATATGTGTGCTAACAAGGCCCCCAAAGCATTGCATGAACATTGACTGTTCGTGGATGTGGTAATACTTTAAGAGGCATTATTAGCTGGGTGTAGGGCTGCACACCAGTAACTCCAGCACTCTGGGAGGCTGAGGCAGGAGACTCACAAATTCCAGCTGAGCTTGTGAGCAGCTTAGTGACTTGACTTAGAAAGATCTTGTCTCCAAATAAAAAGGAAAAAAATTAAGATTTGGGGATGTTGCTCAGTGTGAAGGCCCTGGGTTCAATCCTCAGCACTGAAAAACAAAACAAAACAAAACATAACAACAATGGAAAAAAAAACCCAAAAAGACATTAAGAGAGATTATTTAGAAGAAGCAATTGAAAAACAATCTTTTCCATTTTATTTAAAGTCTCTGATATGAGTTGAAGCATATTCCCTATAAATATACTACTTAAATAATTCTATTTCCTAAATAGTATTTTTAAAAATATTAAGAAAGAGAGTTGATGAACAAATGATGGCTATAGAAGATGGTCACTAAATTCTAAGCATACATTTATAAACTTTCACTTACAGGTGTGTACAGACAAAACCTTTATTTTCAGATGTTTGGGTTTTTTCCTATTTTTTTTTTCTGTTTGTTTTTTTGAGAGAGGGTCTCACTATGTATTCCAGGCTGGCCTTGAACTCACTGTGTAGCCCAGGCTGGCCTCGAATTCACAACTATCCTTCTGCCTCAGCTTCTCCAGTGCTGGGGATTACAAATGTACGCTACCACGCCTGGATTTTCTCTGTTTTTATATATTCATATAGATAAATGCCAAAGTTTTAGTCTTACATTTTAAAGGGATGCATTTTCTCCAATATTACTGAAGAATCTGGAATGTCGAAATCAGAAAGTTGGCAAGCAAAGTTTATGCAAAATCACAGAAAAAAAAATGTCCCTGGATCTGTGTTTCATGTTTGCTTGTTCACAGAATCTCTTTGAGTAGAATTTAATCTACAGTAACTACCTCTCCTGGCGCATTTCAGGCCACCCATGACTTTAATTAGTTATCATAATTTATTGAGTGCCTACTACATGATTAGGATAATCATTTGCTTGTATTCTAGGTGTTGGCTACCCCCAGCAAATGGGAAATCTCAGACTACTGGAAGCTTATGCTTTATTTCTGACAGATTTGGCAAGAAAAGAAATATTTCACTATTACTTGGCTCAGCTGACTATACAGTCTTCTGGCTAAATCAATTTAGAGAGAAGATTTATTCGAAATGATACCATTAGGGACTAGCTCTTGGGATCAACTCTGGAAAGAATCTGATCTAAGAATCTTTCAGTGTCCCACTAAAAAGTGGCAGCATTGGGAATAGACTACAAGAGAATCTTATCATCTTTTCTATCTAACCTCTGAGACCCCCGGTCAGCACGAATGGGAGGCAGGCAAGACTTGCCATTGCAATGGATGGAACTGCTCTACGGATCAACAGCTTGTCTTCTCTCCGCTTTCATTCCAGTAGGCAGTGTAGTTTGGGCCACTGAGTATTAATGTATCATCTTAGGAAATGAGTGCTACCAAGTGAGTCCATGTTACAACTTAATTTCTTTTATTTGTCACTAACTAAAAAAATTGAGCATGTCCTGAATTGCACATTATGGGGAACAACTGCTCCAAGAATTTAACAAATAGGGAAATGATCAGTCCTAAAATGATAATTATCTAAGGTCCATAACTAACTAGTCCATTCATCTGACTCATCCATTATAAAAAGTGGTATTTTTTTTTTCTTCTGTAAAGCTTGGTACTTCTCAATATCTTAAATTTTTTATTTTTTAAAAAATCAAATACAGTTTCATTAAGATCCCAAATTATCAGTTTTCTTTAAAAATATATTTTCTACCTGGATAAATATGTGTATGTGTTCACTGACAACTGTGAATTCTGGTGCATTTTTGTACATGTTTAAATAACACAATTTAATTGGGAAATTTCCTATGCTACTTCAGAAATTGTATTACTTACATTAGAGATCCCAAGGGAGTAACTGGCTTAGAAATCAGTTTATCACATTAAAATGTGCATTTAATGTATGCTAATTTTATTTCAAAAGGCTCATATGAGAGTCTTATGCCTAAGCGGCCGGCATGTTGTATTGAGAGGTATCTGGATTGGGAATGGCTTGTGTGTCTGGAAGCAGGACACACAATTATTGGCCCTCTGCATTTCTTCATTTATGAGATTACAGCTAATATTTATCTTCTGCACACAAAAATGTTGTTTATACTAATATATGTGCTGAGCAAAGCAATGTTAATTAACACATTATTATTCACCTTAGAGCCTTAGAAAACTGAAGAAATTTTCCTCTATGAGTAATTTATGATAGACTGTGTGTGGAGATTTATACATTTTGGAGGGTAATATTTGGTATGACAGATGTAGTTTCAAAATCTCAGGATAGTAAGTTTATGAGTAAGGTTACTTAAAACCTATTATTCAGAGTTGGTCTTGGTTGGGACCTAAAGATACCTTCATATTATACAAGGAGGCCACTAGGACTCAAAGAGGTTCAGTGACTTTTCCTAAAGACAGTCTGGTGGTCAGGAACTTAGCCTCAGTGACAAGAGTGATTTTCTAGCTGCTGTCCTTTGTCCTGTCTTCTAGCATGTATTTATGTATTCAGAGAAATGGGAAAATAACAAATACGGAAGCTGGGTCTTCTCATGTTAATCAACCAATGAATAGTTATTATTCAAAGGCACTTTTTGAATAATTGAAACTGTGAGCATTACAGAAGAATGAATAGCAATTTCAAACAGGGTGGACCCATTAAAAAAATTGTGAGATCCTGTAATCCCAGCACGGAGGAAGGAGGATCATAAATTTAAGCCCACCCTGAGCAATTTAACAATAAACGAGGTCTTGTCTCAAAAAACAAAGCACAACATTAAAAAGGGCTGGGGATGTAACTGAGCACCCCCGGCCCTAAATCTAAGTTCACTGTTTAATTTTTTAATCTTTGAAAAATTGAGGAGGGGGGGGAGCATGGCTGTGAGGTTGTTTGGACACGGACCAGTCCAATGCAGGAATTTATACAGTTCATAATCGCAGGCACTCGCGCTGCACGCGAGGGCCAGCTGAGGGGGCAGCCAGCAGCTCCGGGGCTCTGAGACCGGGTCGTGCTTCCGGGCTCCCCGAGACGCCTCGGGTTGTCCTCAACCCTGCCGCCCTCTGCGGCTGCGCTAAGGCCTGGGGCGCCTCCCGGGCCAGCCCAGGGCCTTGGTCGCCGACCCCAGGGCTGGGGGCAGGCGCTCGGGGGTCGCTGAGACACAGACTGGCTTGGGAAACGGGCCTCATACCTCGGACTCGGGCGTGTTTGCAGCCTGGGTCATCCCTCCCGGGGTCGTAGCCCCAGGAGTACTCCCCAACGACGTCGCCATGAAGTCTTGGGAGGGAAGCGGCCCTCGTTGCCTGGGCAACCGGGGTGGGGCCAGCAACACAGGGCCTGGAAGCAGATTCCTGGGCCCAGAGCCTCCGCCCCACCCGGAAGGTGGCTGGAGACCTGCGCAGCTCTGCATCCTCCTGCAGGGACAGACTTGTTCCTTTCAGGGAGAATGAAAGCTGAGAGGAAAAGGCAGTTTAAATAGCAGCAATTTCGGGGATCTACTGTGTCTGAAGGCGCCTAATGCTAGAGCACCTCAAATTGTTCTTTCTTTTGTAAGTTCTTAACGAATATTAAAGCAAGATAAATTATTGATAGATATTTGATCTTAAGTAATTTTTGTTATTTTTTTTTTAAGTTCCATGATAGTATTGTGGTCATATTTAGAAGGAAAAAAAGACACCGCCCCCAGAGATTTAGTGATAATGAAATGATACGCACTCCGTGATTTATTCAAAAATAGTGGAAGAGAGGTATGCGAAATGTATGGAGGTGTAGTAAATAAATCAAGATGGGTATGGAGGAGGCAGTGGGGTGAAGGTTGTTGAGTATATGCTACGGTTACATATATTTGACAATTTCCATAATAAAGACTCTTAAAAACAAGATATGTTTTATGGAAGTCTGAATATTCTGGCTTCTCTGGATAAGCCACACCTGTTTTGAAAATGGGATGTATTTTGCTTGAATTTATCTACATGGAGGTTGATATGCTTCCTGTCACAATCAGACATGATTTAAATGCTTCAGTTCCCTCCTCCGCAAAATGAGATAACAGGATTGGCCTCAAAGCTTCATGGGGAGGACCAACAGGTTATTATATATGGAAATGTTTATGTCAGTCCTGGCAACTAGTAATGATCTGTGCGTGCTAGTCAGGTGTAGGATTAGTATTATGTTTCTCCTAACTTTGCTTAGCTGCCAAGGTACTATTTTTCTTTTCTGATAGCATGTTGCTTATCAGACCAAATTTGACATGTTAGCTTTACACAGTGTTGTAACATTTCTTTCAAATGACCTCACAGTTCAAATTATTGTACATATCTTGCATTGTCTCTAGTCTTGCATATGTATAGCTGTCAATTCAAGTGCATTGCACTATTCCCTTTCTCAATATTTAGGTCCTAAAGGACCTAGTTCAGGTTTCATTACGAAATATCAACTCAACAATGTGTTTATGACTTTCACATTTTAAAAGGACTATATTTCATCAGTTACTGAAAATATAGTCAATTTATAACGACTGCCGAATTTAAGTCATCACCTTACAAATTTATTACAATCACTTTTTTTCATGGTTTTCTTTTGATCTCTATTCCAATTAAAATTAGCTGCTCATCTTCTGAAAAGTTAGAACATTTAGCATTCTTTAAATTTTGTGTTTGCTGAAGTGTTAAGACATTTATTTCTCCTAAAATGTTCTAGTTTCCTCAAACACTCATTTCATATTCTGGCTTTTAATTATTCTTTTTTTTTTTTTTGACAATTGTTTAAGATTTTCAGCATCCCTTTTGGTTTTGGCCCCTAGAACTACATGGAATGTTCCATTAAAGATGGAATCAATTCTATCAGCATCAGGAAAGGTTACATCAGGAAGCAAGGGATTGTTTCATAGGAATTCCAATTTTACTTTAATGCTATAATTTATTAAAGGAGTCAGTTTTCACAAGTCAGTTTAATTTTATGGGCAGAAAATTTTGCTCACTAAGGAGTGGTGTTTAAAACCTACTAGTTTGAACGTTACTGTTTAATTTGCACAAGTTGAAGCTGATTTTGGCCTCCCACTTCTTTTGTAGAGAGGTGCCAACAGCAGATGTCATGCTTTCTTACAAGGAAAGGTTAGCTATGTCTTCTGCAGTTGTAGTTATTGTTTAAAACAGACCTTTGACTTTTACCACATCAGAAAACAAATGTGTATTGACAGTATTATTTGATCAATTTGGATTAACTTCTGTTTTAATGAAAGACTCTAATGTACATACCTACAAAACTATTATCAGCACAACATTTTACAAATAGAAGCAGGTTTTCTTGAAGAGGAGTGTTTTCATAATATGATTATTGGATAGAGCATAATTTTAAATACAAGAGAAACATGTAGAAAAGACATGTGATGGGGATTGGTGGTCCGAACTATATGACCCATAGTACTGATGGTGAGTATTCAGCTGTTTTCTTAGGATGGGTAAAAATTTATACTCTTCATGATTTTTTGGTCACTGATTCATTTTAAGTATTAATGAAGTTCTTCATTAATAAATGAAATAATGTCACTGATATGGCTAATGTCATACTAGTAGTTCAAACACGGTGATTCCTGAGTTCTTCAGTCTATTAAGTGACCTCCATGACAGTCTTAAGAAGGTTAGGCGGGAAAAGTTCTGCTTTATCCTTTAAATGGTAATAAGAGAACATAGAATTCTGCAGTTGGAACTTACACAACACATTATATCTAGCCTGCAAGTACAGTAATGCTATAGATGCAAAAAGAAAAAAAAATATATAAAAAGGATAAAAGTCACATGATCATCTCAAAAGATGAAAGATAAGCCTTCGTCAACATTCAACCTTCTTTCATGATAAAATCCTTGAAGAAACTAGATGTAGAAGAATCTCCCTCACAATAATAAAGGGTATAAATGACAAATCCCAAACCAACATTAAATTGAACAGAGAAAAACAGAAAGGATTTCTTCTAAAATCAGGATGGAGATGAGGCTATTTACTCTCTTCACACTTATTCAATATAGTACTTGGAATTTTATCCATAGCAATTAGACAAGAGAAGGAAATAAGGGAAAGGAAGAAGTCAAATTATCTGTATTTGCAGATGATATGGTACTATACATTGAAGACCATGAAGATTTCACCAGATGACTTTTAGATCTCATAAATTTGACAAAGTAAAAGGATACAAAATCAACATATAAAAATCAATAGCTTTTCTATACATCAATAATGAACCTGCTGAGAAAAAAAAATCCCCAAAACAATTCCATTCACAATAGCTACAAAAAATAGCTAGGAATAATCCTAGTCAAGAATGTGAAACCAAGCATTTAACTCAGTGTGCTGCACCTGCTTCACAAGCTCAAGGTCCTGAGTTTGATCCCCGGTACCAAAAAAGAAAAAAAAAGACCGTGAAATGTGAAGACCTCAACAATGAACATTATAAAATAGTGAGGAAAGAGATTTACCAGAGACCCCTGCAGTTAGGTTCCAGTACCCACCTGCCCAGTATATGATGCAGGTCTGAGGAAAAAAATACACTAAGAGACAGAACTAAAAGAGAAAATGTGGGGTACCAGGATGACAAATGCCAGTGCAACTGACAAAAGCACTGGCCAGTCCCAGGCACTGATCTTTATTGGCAATCAGTTGGGGTAAAGATGAGCTATGTGTGGTTTCTATGGAAATTAACGTAAACAAGGCTTGTGAAAGACAAGACAAAGCATTCTCAAATTAGGAACAAAATAGACAAAATATATGATTGTAATTAGAATATTGTCCTTCTAGTCAGAAGGTTTTAGTTGTGGGAAGGGAATTTGGGTGTGAGTTACTCTGACCTCAGCGTGTAGACTTCAGATGGACTCATTTCTATAAACAAGCCAATTGTGGTATTAACTCTTCACAGCCTGCTTTGGGGATGATCAATATTACAGTCCTCTGCAGAAATGAAGAAGATACTAGAAGATAGAAAGAGCCTCCATGTTCCTGGATTGGCAGAATCAATATTGATAAAATGGCCATAGTAACAGAAATTATCTAAAGATGCAGTGTAATCCCTGTGAAAATACCAATATATTCTTCAAATTATAATTGTAATTATATACTAGAAAAAATATTAAAATTCCTATGGAAGCACAAAAGCCCAGAATAACCACAGCAATTGTCAATAAAAAGAGAAATGGTGGAAGAATCACAAAACTTGATTTCAAAATGTACTGCAAAGCCATAAGAACAGAAGCAGCATGGTACTAGCATGAAAGCAGACATGTAGACCAATGGAATAGAACAGAGGACATAGATACCAACTCATGCAGCTACGGCCATCTGATTCTTGACACAAGGCAAAAAAAAACCCAGCCTCTTTAGCAAATAGTGCTGTAAAAAAACCTGGATATCCAGACATAGAAAAATGAAATTAAACCCTATCTCTCATTCTGTATCAAAAATCACTTCAAAATGGATCAAAGATCTAACTATAAAACCTAAAACTTTGAAGCTGCTAGAACAAAACATCAGGGAACTACTTCAAGATATGAGCACAGGAGCACAGGCAATGATTTCTTGACTAAGATTCTAATTGCTCAGAAAATAATAGCAAGGATGGAAAATGAGATTGCATCAAATTAAAAAGCTTCTGCACAGCAAAGAAAACAACAGAGTGAAAACCCAGCCCATAGAATTGGAGATCTTTCTTTGTCAGACACTTTTCTGACAGAGGATTAATATCCAGAATGTATGAATCACTCAAACACATTAACACCAAAAAAAAAATCATACAATCAAAAAATGGGCAAATGAACTAAGCAGACTTCTCAAAAGAAGTACAAATGGGCAAAGGCCACATTTAATAAAAAACATTCAACATCTTCTGCCATCAGAGAGTGTAATCTAAACTACACTGAGATTCCAACTTACACCAGTCAAAATGGCTATCATCCAGAATACAAAAATAACAAATGCTAGCTAGAATGCTGGGAAAAAGAAAAAATATGCACTGTTGGTTGGAAATGTAAATTAGTACAGTCATTATGAAAATCAGTATGGGGATTCCTCAAGAAACTAAAAATAGAACTACCATGTGATACAGCTATACCACTTTGGTATATACCTAAAGATATTAAAGTCTGACTAGTATAAAGATACCATATCCATTCTTACTGCAGCATACTTCGCAATACCCAAATTATGGAATCAGCCTAGGTACCCACCCACTGATAACTGGATAAAGAAATTGGACTTATATATCTATATCTATATATAATATCATTATTATATTATGTAATATATACAGCATAATAT